TGTAATAGATTTATTTTTCATAAATTCAACTTAATGAATCTTAAAATAATTCAATCTAAAAATATCTATTTTTCCTATTCATCTTGCATACGAAAATTTAAAATTTTAAATAGTGCATTTCTTGAAATATGACGTGTAATATTTATCAAACAGATTTCATGAAATTTCATTACGAAAATATTTAAAAATGCTTACTTCTTAAATAGGTATTCTCCGCAATAAATCTTAACATGCCAATTTCCGTTCGATTAAATAAACTACTTCGATTTCATTTGATCTTGATGGACCAACGATGTTCACCAAAGAACATATTAAACCTGTGCTATATCAACACAAACAATATCTCTAAAGCTGCCGTCAAATAGCATTACGTCCGGAATATCTCTCCCGAGCGTTGCCGGCAGCATTTAAAAATGCAAAATTCCACCGAGACGAAGCAAAAGAGCAAAGCCGAAGAAAATTAAGGCCGAGATTCCACGGATTTACAGTTGAAAGAAAAATCCCTCCGTTTACTCCAAGCGCAGCGAGAAGACATCGAGATTCAGAAGACTCGTAGACGATCCCCATGTCAGCCCATAATGAAAGATCGCTTTAAGCCCCGTCGCTCCGAAGTAAAAGCAGCCGGGAACAACAGCATTATCGTAAAGGGCAACGGATTGCCCCATGAAGCAAGGCTGTAAATGTCGGGCCCCAGCTTTATCGCGCTGCTTAGAGGAGCTCGTCGAGGCGACGACCGATTCGGTTTACTGCTTTCATCTGATTCATTCGTAACGCTGCATAAAGAAATTCCCGAGCCCCATAATCAGCATCATCACAGCTCATACGCCTCAATGACGGCCGTGGGCATCAATCTTTTTCTATTATCTAATAACCATGGTATGGTGTAATACGAAAGAGTTCGAGCGGCGCATTGTCACCGGCAATTTATCATCGTTATCGATCCACTTGTTTCGATAAAATATGTACGCCGAAAGACGCGAGCAATTCAATTTCCTTGGGCGTCCTCGATCCGGACGTAGGGAAAAAAAGCAGAGGAAAAGGGAATGACTTCCTTCCTTCCTTCCTTCCGTCGCAATATTTCATTCCCCGGCCGGTTATCGGCATTCGAAGCACGATCGTAAGTAGCCGTCATTAGGGTACGTAAATGCCGATATAAGAATTTGTTTCCAGGCTCTTCCAGCCTTCTCCTCAGGCGTCCCGACCATCCCAGCAGGGATCAACACTGTTGGGTCCTTTATTTACGGATTTTCAACGCCGAGAAACTCGCCGGTCTACTTGAAAAATTATTTCGTCGCTTTTTCTACACGAGATCTATAACTTCCAGTGTTACCGGAGGAAGAAACAAACCCTTCACGATAACAGCAATCCTCCGCGCAGAACGAAAAAACCGATGATTTATACTCCCGCTATATTTTCTCGCGTATCGCGAAGCTCCCACGGTCGCGAGGTTTAGGCCGTTTCGAAGACAGATGTTTCTTGGACAGGGCATATTGAAGCTTGAACGATGAACGGTGTTCATTTAACTTTGGCGAACTGATAGCGACTCGGGGCCGCGCTTGGCGGTTGAGTTAGCTACTTCGTGTGGCTGGATTGATATGAGCGAAGTTCTCGATTGAAATGAAATTTAAGAAGTAGAGAATTAGGAATTATTCGGGTTATAGATTGTATGTATTGTAGATGGGTAAATGCTTCTCTATTTGATAGATGATGAATTTCATTGGTGATTGTTTGGCTGATACCAATGGGATATACTATGTTGAGTGTATATTTTTATGTGGAGTATATTTATATTCTCTATATAGTTGCAGGGAACATATTAATATTTAGAATCGTTTTATGTATCTATTTACTATTTTTTCACAGTGATGTTTCACATATCAGGCATTTGGAGCAATGTGGAAATAATAACTGTAACAATATATCATTATTATAAAAATTTGTATCATGTTACTTTTAAACTTCAATATGAAATATTCATTTTTCTCGATCCTTCTAGTATCTTTTCTTTTACACGACTAATTTTGTCAAGAAAAATTTTGCGTCAATTTGACTCTCCCGTTGCGCGCAATAAAATCAACAAATGGAAAAACCAAAACGAAACAAAGAAGAATTACATGTTTATCTGAAAAAATAAAGAATTCACCATTGAAGCAAGTAGTATTACGTCAAGCTTTAAAATAACGCGTATACTCGTCAAACGTAGTTAACTGGTTAATAATTGTATTAAAACGAATATAGCTTGTAATTTTGAAATTACAATGACATTGAACTTTCACGCTTGGGCGTACAAAAGTTTAAGTTAATTACTTAATTTTATTTGTCACGTTGCTATGCAAAATAAAATAAATTAACAAGATGCCGATATCTTGATATGTGACTTCAAAGTCATACGGGTCTATAGAGGGTTAACATGTTACAAGAGCAGTTTCGGTCCCCCCGTTCAGCCACACGAAATCACCAAACAACTCTATTTCATAGTTCAACGACAACTACATTAAGTTTCTTGCTCAGAAATTATTTGGCCTGTCCACGGGTTCTTCTATCTTGATTAACGGAACGGTGATAGGGAAAAGCAGGTCGTCCGGTGGCTTTACGAATAACAGAGAATTTGCCGGAGCGTGGAAACCATTTGTCTGTTCCGGCGAGCCATTTCCATTTGTTTGAAGTTATTAATTACGTCTCATTAATTGCGCAACACCGGGGGAAAATAGTAATCGGCTGCGTGCTAATTAATCGACTGTAATTATTCCCGTGCCGGGAGTCGAAAATAATTTTATTCCGCAATTTGTTGCGGGCGTTATCGGATGAACGCCGGTAAATCCCTTTGAAAACCACCTCCCCCCTTCCTCCCATGTAGCTGAGATTCACCGGAAAAGATTAGATTGACTTAAGCTTCGAGGAACCCGGGGAAACATTCGAGAAATCCAGACAACGAAGTTCCCGTGGAAACTTGAAAGGGAACGAACCCGAACACCGGAAGACCCGCAAGTCGAGATGATACCTTGATTACTTAGGCGGTGGGAAGTATTGATTTCATCGGGCGACGCGATTCACGGGTTTCCGTCCCATTAAACGGTTGGCCTAATAGTAGCTAAGAAGATCCAACGAAGAAACTATTGCATCTCTACCCGCGGCTATTATTCAAATTATTCGAGTAAACCGTTCGAACATCGACGAATCCGAAGGCCCCTGTCACTTTGACCTCATAGCTCTCTGTTATTCCCATCGGGAGAAAGTTTACAAACTAAATACAAAGTGAAAGAAACTTTAGAGTTGTTTGTTGAACGGTTAGCGCAAAGTGGACAAAACTTTTGAACTGTTTGTTGAACAGTAAGTGTAAAGTGGAGAGAAGTTTTGGAATGTTTGTTGAACACTGCTACTTCGAAACTGGAAGCTGTCACGACGAAATTGTAATACGAGTACTTTCTGTAAATCAATGTCTGATTTTTATAAGCTGAAAACCGACCGAGGTTCTCATTGTAAGTAAATCGCGATCAGATAGTTTGTGCGTATTCTTACATTGTTATGTTTACATTAAGAGACATGATTGATAATTAACATTATCACAGGGAAAAACAATCTTCCAGCATCTATATATTGATGGTATTTCAAAAAAATATGTAATTAATTTTTATAAACAGGTAAAACTCTAAACAGTTTGTAATCAAGGAACTATAGCATTGAAAATATAGGTAGTGGCTTAATGACCAGGATAATTAAAGGATAATTAATGCAATTTTTAATTTTCAAAGAACTACTGCTTCGAATTTCTATATTGATAAAGAAGTTTGGAAATTTTACGATACATTTTATACTCGTACAGCTAGTAAAATAGGGAATTTTTTAAAAGCTTATCACGTCATATCGGCTTTCATATCATTTTGTTTGAACTTCCATATTCATGAAGCTTTGTTCATTTATATGAATAATGTTTCTTCGTAGAAACTTTGAAAACCTGTTGAAAGTATTTGGGTCACTGCCGTACTAATTATTCCACATTTATCTCTGCTTAGAAATTCAAAGAAAAGCTCTGTGTAATAGTCAGATACTAAGTTTTCTATTTTTATAAGCATGTAACATTATTCATCGAAGCTAATAATTTTCTACACTATTTACGAAGATGCAAGGGTCAGCAAGATTATCGATAAAAATGATTTCAAGTAATGCTTTTTAGAACATCGAACCGCATCTATTTGTGAAAATATTAAATAAATACATATATTCAAACTTTCATCACGCGTTCTTACGCACCTTTAACATCATAAATCAAACATCTTAACAAACTACATAAATTTGCTTCGATAACACATTTTAAACAGTACGCAAATCAGTATAAAGC